TTTTTTTTTTTTTTTTTTTTTTTCCGCGCCCCCCCCTCAGTGGAGCCTCCCCACATTAGCTGCCGCTGGGCTGTGCAGCTTTTGGAGGCAGGGCCCAGTCCTTCCCTCTGCGGTGGTGGCAGCACGCCCCCCCCCGGCGGGTGCAGCCCCAGCTTGCAGGCAGCACCTGCCAGATCCAACTTTTCCCTGAGCCTGAGTGCTGGAAGCCTGCCAGGCATTGCTCCCCATGTGGGCTTAGGTAAAAGCTGGATCCAGTGGGTGCTGCCTACAAGCTGAGGTAGCATCTGCGCGGCTAGCTCCCCACCCAGGCAGCCCCGGGTGGCACTGCCACTGCGGAGGGAAGAATCACAGCTCTGGGGCTCCACTGCCCGGCAGCAGCTCACATGGGCAGGCTCCGCTGAGGGGGCTGGAAAAAAAGCAGCGAGGGGCCTGATCCATTTCCCCCCCTCCATCCCCACGGAGCCTGCCCACCTCTTCCATAGCTGGGGGGGCGAGCTGCTAGTGGGCTCTGAGCTGTGGGGGTCCCTGAACCTTCCCTCTATGGCAGCAGCGCCCCCCCAGGTGGCACCTGCCCACTAGCAGTCCACTCACATGGCCCCGGGTGGGGGGTACCACCACAGAGGGAAAGACTGCCTCCCTCCGCACCAGCTCAGGGTCCACTTATCCTGCCAGCAGCTTGCCCCCCAGCCATGGGAGACACAGGCAGGCTCTGTGAAAATAAATAAAGGATCAGGCCTTTCACCGTAACAGTGACAGAAGCCCCTAAATTGAAACAGGGTGGGTTTTTAATCGTCACAATTAAAAACCCACCCTGTCTCAATTTAGGTGACTAAACCCCCGTCACATGTACAACCGGCCTAAAATAGAATTTAAGCTTCTATGCATTTTGGTGGGGTGAACATTGATGAGGTACCTAGGTGGGTATGCTGGAGAACCCTCTGCTGTATTCTGCACACCCAAAGGATCTGTAAAAACATGCTCTGTGTAAACTCCAGTTTGGGAAACATCAGCTACATCTTCTCCAGTCCCGGCATTGACTTCCGTTGCCTCTGTTGCCTCTTCTGCTGTTGGGACATTTTCATCCACCACACCGCTTTCAGCTGAAGCTTCTGTGAAATAAGTATTTCAGTTAAAGATTAATTTGAAAGCTACCATGCATATAACAATGCAACGTGAAATTAACTTGTGCAAACATTAGTTCTTGAAATCTGGCTACGATACGACAGTTAAAACACTTATGGAAAGACCTAAGCATCTTTAAGAACCAGACGTGGCGTAGATCTCTACTTTACATCTCATCTAAAGGACTGTACCATCAGGGCAACGTTACTGGTGTTAGGGTGTCAATATGCGTTGGATGGAAATACCTTCTCAATAAGCTAGCCATTGTCATTTTTGGTACCACCAACACAATCATGGGAGGTCTGTCATGTAGGTACTTACCAGGTTCACCAGTGAAATTGGACTGATCCAAAAAAACCCAAAACACAATACTGAAAGGACATGAGTGTCAGCTGTTTTGATAAGTGAAGTTCTACGTGCTAGCTTATTAGTAATTTTAGACTGCCAGACATCAAAGAAAGGAGCAGAAATTCAGAGAATCCTAAAGGCTTCTGTAAGTGAACAGATTCTCACCTAAAATCTGGATTAAAGCGTGCAGCTGATTAACACAGCTTCTACACTAGCCAGACTACTCTAGTCTGGGGTGAGGGAGGATACCACTCATGTCAAATGTTTAACTTAAGCCTCTAGCCACAATTTTTTCTGAAGAACACTTGCAAGATAAAGTTCTCATTTGTACCAGGATTTACAAGGAATGAGTCTCTGGAGATCCATACCCATTTAAAATCCTTTTATGATGTTTGCAACTGCATGAGATTATCCTAGTCACAAACCATTCTCAGGGAGACATTGTAAACCAAAGTAGTGCATTCAAGGAGCTAATTTTCTACTGAACTCCAGCTTCTGCAGCTTCCATTTCTCAATGATTCCTAATGGGAGTTTATCATCCTAAGTGAATGATGAATATTTTCATACCTGGCTGTTTATCTGTTGCAGATGAGGCACCATTAGCATCATGAGCTAGAGGCGGTGCAGTAATGCCCTCTGCAGTACAACCAACCACTGTGATTCCACCTAACAGACTATCTGTTTCTGCAGAGCTGTTGCTGGTCATACTCCCACACAAAGAGGACTTGTCCACTTGACTGGAATCTGCTTCTTGTGAGCCCTCTTCCCCTGCAGGATAATCTGTTTCCCTAGCCCCTGTAAGACAGATGAAGCTGCATGTAGTTTCTGGGATGTACA